GAGCATCCTTTGCCCCAGACCGAGAGTTCCTATCTATACCTTGTGGCTAATAGCCACGGATGGACTTCTGCTCCATATGCTTATGGACAAGCCCACCTACGTCCCATAATCGCCAAACAGAACCTCCATGTTCATGGGCAGTCTACCTCTGAATGCCTCCAGCTTGGGAGGGCATAGACCCAGGTAGCCCATCTTTGTGCCCTCCAATATCAATCAAGGGACAAATCCAGTACTGGATATCTACCCCATGGCATTGGGTGGGCAGGGTGGCTGGGAAGGAACCTAACTCCTCACAGTCTCTCTCCAGGTGCATTTCCGAATGTCACAGGTACTTGAGGCGGTGCCTTTCTATGGCGGTCTGTCGCTTGGGGTGGGGTGGGGGGAAGGAGTGACACCGGGAGAAAGATCAACGCCAAATACACAACCGGTCACAAACAATAGGGAAATGAAAAGGCAATGGCTGTGTGGGAGAGGTCGCTTCCCACTGTGTATGTGTGGGGGACGGGAGGAAGCTGAATTTCCAGAGTTCATATCCTTTCTCCAAAAAATGCAGATTTTTTTGGCACGCGCATTCGAAATGCATCTGGCCTCCCGAGTGGTGTTTGTGCTCCCTCTAAGCTGTGGAGTCTTGTGAGCAAAAATTCTACTTTGTGAACTGCTGGCACTAAAGTTGTGAGCGAGCAATTTGGCTCCTGCATACATTAGTCTGCTCTGGAGCCAACCTTCCTGAGCGGAGACGAAAATGTGTGAGCCGGAGGCTAAAACACTGTGAGCTAGCTCACATTAACTCAGCTTAGAGGGAACACTGTCTTCGGTAAATAGACTCCAATCAACTACACCTAATCAAGTGCGCCCTTTTGTATTTTCCAGAAGAAGAGGGGCTACTTTGGTGGTGGAAAGAGCTTATGGTGACTCCCTAGGTTTTTTTATAAGGCAAGAGAGGAATGGGGGTGGTTTGCCAGTAGGGTTGCCAGCCTCCAGGCGGGGCCTGGGGATCTCCCGCTTTTACAACCGATCTCCAGCTGACAGAGGATCTGCTCCCCTTGAGAAAATGGCCCCTTTGAAGGGTGGACTGTGGCATTGGGCCATGCTGAGGCCCCTCCCCTCCCCAAAGCCCACCTTCTCCTGGATCTAACCCCAAAGTCTCCAGGTATTATGCAACCCGGACCTGGCAACCGTATTTGCCAATGTCTTCCTCTGCATAGCGACGCTGGTATTCCTTGGGGGTCTCCCATTCAAATACTAACCAGCGTCAACCCAGTTTGGCTTCCAAGATCTGATGAGGCTAATTTGGGCCATTCAGGTCAGGGTGGGGGCCGCTTTATTCACTTCATCTTACACCCCACCTTTCTCCACAACGGTAACCCAAGCCAGTTGACACGGTTTTCCTCTCCTGCACTGTATCCTCAGAACAGTCAGCAGAGTTTCACTATAGAATGATGTGACTGTAGCAGCTTGCAACTTGATCATTACCTTTGATGGAGGGGACACACCTCCTTCTGACCAATGAAATCTCTGATACCCGGTTTGTTGACCCATTTAATTACATTTTAGGCTAAAATTACTCTAAAATTAGACTACTTATAAAATCTCATTCATTGTATTTTTATTTTTATATTTATTCAGAATAATTTGAAGAACTGACACGGCTATATTTATGGCCCAACATAAGCTAGTAGCATAACTAAAAGCATATAAGGTAACTTCAGCAAAAAACGTTCTATTATTATTGATGTTTTATTTCTTATACATTTGGTATGTAATAATCAGGCTATCGTCCCCCCTTCTTTTTGTCCTTTCAACAATTTCAGGAAACAACATCTGGTTTTTTATATATCTATATGTATATATCTATATCTATCTATCTATATATAGATATAGATATAGATGATAGATAGATAGATAGATAGATAGATAGATAGAGATAGATAGATAGATATAGATATATAGATAGATAGATGATAGATGATAGATGATAGATAGATGATAGATAGATAGATAGATAGATAGATAGATAGATGATAGATAGATAGATAGATAGATTGCTTACAGCTGCCAGTCCGCCAAGGCTTCCAACCCCCGACCCACCGCAGAGTTCCCAGAGCGTTCCCTGCGCATGCACAGGAAACACTCTTTTACTTTTGGGGGGATTTAAATATCCCCCCTATATTTTTTCAACTTTTTAG